ATAATAATAATAATAATAATAATAATAATAATAATAATAATACCACTGTAGTAACATAAATAATTAAGAAATATACTCATAAAATAATAATAATAATAAATACAAAATAAGTTTCACCAGATTTGTTTCTTTCTCTAAAGTTAGTATACCCTAGTCTATCAAAATAATAAAGAATAAGTTTTGGTTTTTATAATTTTATAGTTTATATTTACTGAGGAAGTTGAATACATTGCATTTGGGACATGTTAAAATGAGCGCATATTCCAGAGAAATGGTGCTTTAAAGAGATGTAAAAAGATAAAAATAGTAATTTATCTTTGTTAGAGCAATAGAAAACACCTAAACACATAATAAAATAGGTTTGTTATAAAGATTTGTCTAATATTTTAAAAGAATAAGAGCCAGTTAAACACGAGGACATGAATATGTGGCCCAAAACAGGAATCACCCAGAAGATACATGTATGAGTATTGATTTGCTCTGAGTTGGTCGATCTCTCTTCTTAGGACATGGTAGTAGGATGCATGAACCCCATCCCAGGAAGCACTAGACTTTCTGTTGCAGGTCATGCCATCATACACACAATATCATGCTAGGGGGAATTTAGAGAGACCAGTTCACCTGAATGCATGTTTTTAAACTGTGGCAGGGAACCTGCTAATAGAGGCAGAACACGCAGACGTGCTTCCGGGAGCTCGGGTGGGAATCAGCCCCCTGTCCGGGGTACATGAGGGAAGAGGATGTCATAGTGAGCCAGCATGCCAACCCCCAACATAAATATTGTAGTTTAATACAACCACTTGTAAAAAGAAACTGCCTCGATGAATTCCCTTTGAAATTTATTACTGTTAGTTACTCTGCCCATTTGTTAAGCCGATCCCAATAAATATTTACTTTGCAAGAAATATGCACTCCAAGATTCAAGATCGTCAGCAACGAATAAATCTACATGCAGCTGTTGTATGTGTTGTGGGAAATCCTTCACACACTGTGGAGGGTTAGCTTTCAGGTTTTACTCTAAATCTGCTTACATAAACAGTCAACTGTGACGCATGTGTATTTGCACAGTCTTTAGTAATTGAAATGAAACGAAAAAGACTAGTAGTCCATAGTATTAGTTCAAAGGAGTCTAATATTTTTTGTTCGTTGTTAGAGTTCAAAACCTTGTCTATGACTTCATTTACTGTTTACACATTTTTTGTGCATGTGTGTATATACACTTATACACTAATACACACCTCTTTGTCATGGTATTGTTTCAGCATCCGCCATTGTTCTGTAATTTTGTTGAGTAATTCCTGTTTTTGTAGCCATTAGCTGTTATTGAGTGTAAGTCTGAATCTGTGTCATGTTGTTTTACAGGGATAAGCTCCATTGTCTCCAGTGTTGTTGTTGTTTTATTGCAGTGCTCGTGTGTCACTTTGTGTGCCGTGGTCCATGGTCAGCAATGTACTGATAACTCCTCTGGGGAATCCCAGCCGGCACCACATTGGACAGACTGTTTCCCTTTGATCTCATTGGACGTCTTTGGATTGGCTTTGCTTTGTCCAGAAATTAATTAAAATGAAATTAAATAAGTAATAAGTTTTGTTTCATGTATAATGGAAACTTTGTTTTGGGCAAATCATTTCTGTTAAGTGTTCTGAAAAATGATCTCGTGAGCTGGCCTTGAGAAAAGGAGGACAGAAGAAAAATGGAAATGGGTTGAAAGTGTCTCGAATTTGTTTGATCTTTCACTCATTGTTGATCTCTGTCTTCATTTCTGAATGGTGGTGAATTGAGAGCGTGACGCTGTGGCTCGTTGGGGAGCACTGCTGCCTCATACAGCCAGGGTTCTAAGGTTCTGGGGTTTTGAGTCCTGAAGGGTTGCACGTTCTCCCATAGTGGAGTGGGTTTCTACAAGATGATCACACGTCCTAAAACCTAGTTAAGCCCCTTTCAGGCACGTACTGCCAACCTGAACTTTCTAGACGTTACACAGAGGGGCTGTGTGTGTGAATGCAAATGTCCAAAACAGTTGTACCGTACGTTACGTGGACTTTACCTTGCTAGCTCCCTAGTACAAAGTAATCCAGGAACATTTCCAATTGACTCATCTGTGAATGGAGCAGGGAGAATTTGCTGTGAGTGAGAAGGCGTGTTGATGACATTTCTAGCATGCGACTGGCGCAAAAACTGAAGAATAGGGACATCCAAGGGTGACTAAGGGCCATTTACATGAAGAAGACCCCAACAAACAGCTCGTCTACACAACCCGGAGTATTTCTAGTATGTGTGAACATGTCTGACATGGAGAGTCTCCAGTTGTGTACCACATGTGTGAGAGAACGACTCCAGAAAATCCCTAGGCCTGGACTTGATTCTCGGGACAATGTCATTGGTGTCCCTAAATTGCCCATAGTGAGTTGGTGTGGTTTCATGTGATGGACTGGTATTCTATACCCTTTCATTGTGGTCCAGATCAGGCCCCTCCATAATCCTGTCCAACATATGTGGTTGGCAGATGGGTAGATGGATAACTCTTATATCTGCTAGGTTAACTCCATTGTGGCCGTCATCACTGAGTTATTTCAGTTGATGACATGGGACAACCAAAGCTCAGATTAAATGATCAGTATCGCAGTAATGCACGCATCCAGTTCTCATAAGAATGGGCTGTTGAGTTTTATTCTCCATTGCCAGTTTTTTCTCACTCAAATACAATAATATACCCCCTTCTGGGGGCATTAACAACAACTAAACATGGGGCCTATGGCTTACAAGTGCTCCATCTGTGTTGATGGTTCTCTGAGTCACAGCAGTTTAAATGTTTCACTAAGCTAATAGCGCTTGCTCACTCATTCCCCATCGCGGCCTGTGGTTTTGCTGTAGGAAATAAATGTCCCCATAATGCATTTCTATTCCTCAGGAAGCAGCACACCCATGCTTCTTCTGCATTACACAAACTGCCCTTGATGTCTTGGTTCAGAAGCCTGCTGCAGTACCCATAAGCGCTAAAGACCTTTAAGGCAAAATCTCAGTGTGGACCCTCCCCCACCCACTTATACACTACCTTGTTTTCTCTTGCAGTTTTTTCTGAGACTTCCAATTAAGTCAGTATTTTCTTGTCTGTTTTTACTAGAGAATTTTTGTTGTATTAAATATATCTCTTGGGGAAAGGGTTGCAAAGGGGCTGAAAATTTCCGGAAACTTTCCAGAAACTTTCCATCTGAAGTTAAGTTGTGGAATTTAGAAAATATTGAATTTTGTGGAACTCCGTGTGAGCTGTCCGATACAGCAAAGAAAGCAAACTCTTTGAATAATACAACATAGAATATGAATTATTTTGTTTGGGGTTATTTTACACACTCACAATTTCCAAAGCACTTAGTTACACAATGATATCACTAATAGTGCAGTCAAGGTGTTTTTTCCAACTGCATTTAAGTTCCCTGTTACAAGCCAATCTGCAACTTTTCAAAATTCCAGTTTATTCCCATTGATCCCCATATGTTCCCATTAATTCTCATGGAAAGTTTCTAACTTTGAAAATTCCCAGAATTTTGCAAGCCTAGTTTGGGTCGGTGCTTCATTTCTGAAGACCACCTGTGTTTACAGAAACATCAGCTCTTTTTTTTTTCCTCTGCTGATGAATTTCACTGGAAATATATTGTTCATGTCAAGTGTTGGGCAGTAATGATATAAAGTCAGACCAAGCTAACGGAGACCGATTGGTGGCCAGAGGCTGAGCCACGCTGTCACTAGCAGTGAGCGATCTTCAGCAGTTGCCGAGGTGAAAGCCACTGCTTATCCATCAACTGTAGCCTTGTCACAGTGACGGATGTAGTAAAGTGGCTGTTTGTGCATCTACAGCCTGGTGCATACCGAACACTGTGCAGCCTTTGTAGAAACAGGCTAATGACAAGTAGGATATGATGTAAGATGAGCTTTTTGGAAAATGAGGGGATTGAATAGTGGGTTAATGGAATAACTGTGGAGGAAGGGAATAGTTCATGGCCCACTGCTTCATTCAGCAGGGTTTTTTTCCAGTGGTTTCCCAGCCCTGAAGCACTGTTTCCTGATCTTCTGGTCCCCCCGTCCGGCCCTTATGACCTCCCCGGTGATACATTGCTGTTATGTCCGGCCTACTAGTCCCACCCATTGCCTGCTGGGAGGGAGGGATTGGCTGTGAGGCACAGTCAGACGGGAGCACCCTGCACACCGCCGAAATTCCAGCCAGTATCTGTTCTAGGTCAGTGACTGGTGCCAGTCTCTGATCTCCTGGAGTCCTGACCCTCTCCTCCTCTTCTCCTCCGTCCCAGTGGGCCTGCAGCCAGCTGTTCCGTCGGACACGTGCCTGCAAAAATCTACGAACCAAGAGGAGACTACCTGGGCCTTAAACTTGAATGAGAAGACCAGCCTTTGGGTTCGGTAATATTCTTCCCTGAGTATGTATTGCCGGGACTTTTTCCACTACTTTTTCAGTTACCGGTCTTTATTTGGACTTGCAGTGTTCTAGATGAGATTAGAGAACGCGGAACGCATGTGAAGTTAATGTTTCCCAGATTCCTCTCTGTACTGACTAGAAATGATGTACTTGCTGAGATGGCATGCAAGCGATCTTACAGAGACGGGGGACTGTTGCCGTCTTTGTGCAGTTTCAGACTCACGCTCACAGTAGCACATTGTTTCATGCCTTTATAGACATGGTATCGCATATCTTGCGGTAGCTGGGACAAATCCCCTTTTCACGCTTGTTTCCTGGAGGTCCGCAGCTGTTGACGTCAAACAGAGCAGTTTCTCGCAGTGCGCAAAAGCGGCGCTTGTTTTCTACGGTGATATGTTTGGTGTCCCCCTACCCGAACCGTGCCTTGCCGCCTGGCATCACCGAGAACTGCAGTGCTGAAAAGGCCTTCGCTGGAACTCTGATTTGTGACATGCTGATGGCAGTTAGCCTGGCTCAGTGGCTTTGGTAGAACCGTGTCCCTCAGGTGCCAGCTGTGGAGATTCCGCTGCTCCTGCAAGTGCAAACTCAGTGTCCCCAAGGAAGCACTCGGTGTTGGACACTCTGCCATAGTCCTGCGGTGAGATCTGCGCCTGTCTTGGGAGTCAAGGGCCCAGTTATTTTCATCAAACAGGAAGTTGGCTGTGTCACTGTGAATTCCATGGCGGTACCTTGATCTTCCAGGCTGTGCTGCTGAGTCGTCAGTAAGAACTATGACTGGCTGTTCATTTTATCTGCCTCAGTTACACAAAAGCATGGCTCCCATGAAGTCAGCATTGTCCTCCTGCCTTATTTCCAACCCCATGAAAACATATTCAAGTAGAATTCCTGTTTTATTGCGGCTTAATTAGAAGGTGCTGGGTTAATTCGATGCTCTAAAGAGGGATTAAACTGTTTGAATCGCTGCGCTTCTTATCTAACTGGCTTTGTGTTTTGGCGTTTCATGCATTAGATGATGTCTGCGGTTGGTTATCTGTTGCTTTTAATGTTAAATGTTGAACTCGTTTTAATTTTAGTGCAATTTTTGAGGACACGTTTTGGTTTTGCTCTGCTGGAATCGTGGTTAAAAAAAATTTCCCCTCCCCTCTACGGCAGTTATATTAATGACTGTATGAGTATTTTTCATGTCTCACAGAACTTTGTGCTTTTGGTTTTCCTCACGATGATGATCACGCACTTGAAGCGCATGTGGAGGTCAGGCATTTCTAGGATGTAGCGGCTTAATGCTAAGCATCGTTGAAGGCATTGCAGAGGGGTTCCCATGCATGTCTGGTCAGGTAACTGAGGGCTGATGGAAGATCTAGTGCTGGCGTTTGTCTTCCATTGACAGCCTTTTGGGACAGTGGTTGCAGGGTAGCTAATCTAGTCTGCTTGAACCTAGCCAGTCTAGTCTGATTGTGTGGCTCTGTGTTAGGATGCTGTGTCTGTAATCGGAAGGTTGCCAGTTCAAACCCCAGAGTGACTGTGGCATCGGCTTTTTCAGCAAGGGTCCTAACTCTCAGTTGTCCCTGGGACTGTCTGATCTTAGCTTCCCAAAAATGCATGTTGCTTTGGAGAGTAATAAAAATAAAATGGAGAGTAATAAATATAAAATGGAGAGTAATAAATATAAAAAGGAGAGTAATAAATGAAAAATGTAAAATGATTGGCATCAATGCTGAAGACTGTACCCTCTCTTCTGAATGCGATGGTATCTCTGTTGGTGTGATTTTATTGGTGCTACTCAAAGTTATGTCTGTGGGGTTTAACCTAATTGGTGTTGGAATCTTCATGCCCTAATGCGGACTGGGGCAGATCATCCCACAGAACATACCCATAATACCACTGGGTTCCAAAATATCTGTCCTGAATTTCTAAGAATGGGTTTATGCTAATGTGTTTGCAGTACCAGAATTTGCGATGGGTAGGCCATCTTGGGAAAGACTTAAAATAGAAATTGAAATTGCCCCGTTTGCAGGTGCGTACCTTTGAGGCACTGCCATTCGGTCCAGGGTCTGCATTGTCTTCTGCCCAATGTTTCCTGGAATAGGCAGTTTGGAAAATGTATGTACTCATCCGCTGTTACTTCAGTAATTTTGTAATACCTAAGGCAACTTTTCCTTCCTAATATTTTCTCGGGTCATTTTCATGCAACTGAATTGTTCACTCTGCATAGAATTCCACCGAATCTCCGCCGTGATCTTTAGGGAGAAATCAAATTATTTTCTTAATAGACACTAGGAGTGAAATGAACAGCTATTTTGTTCTTGGCTACACAAGATCTCAGTATATTTTTGCACGGCATGGAGCCGAGTATTTAAAAGAGAGAGAGGCTGTTTTTGAGAAATACGTACCATTGGTCGGTTTGTCTGCACTTGACCACCTGAATGTCCTCTGCTGTGTCTAGTGAAATTTCATTTACACATCTCTCCTGATCCTTATACTCATCATCACGATTCTCCTCTTCCTCCTCCTCATGTTCCTCCTCCTCCATCCTCCACTGGTATTGCCTTCATCCAAGACTTCACCTTGTGCATTTCTTTCCATGGCAATCAATATAGTCACCTTTAGCAAAGCAAGGCTCATTCTTATTTATGGTATTGATGGTATTAAATGAAAGAATACCAAGGCCAGGCAGAACATTTTTTTGGATTTTAGCCTGTTTTTGAATGTGCATTCATTTTGCATCAGTTATTGCTCTTAAGAAATACAGACTTTGAGTGTTTTAACTAGTTCACTGACAGTTTCTGAATCCCTGAAACAAGTTACACTGACAAGATGAAAGCTTTATGTGACGCTGACACTGGCATGTGTCTGCATCTCGTCATGGTAGATGTTGTTCAGCCGCTACTGCCAGGCTGGTGTGAAGGATGAAGATGTGGGAAGGTTTGGTTATTATCATCTGAAGAGCTGGATGGAAGAGGCATTTGGCTTTCCCTGCCTCTTCTCTTCTACTGTGGCTTTTCCATCACTTCTGTGTATGTAAATGTAACAACAATGATATTCTAAGAGACTTAATACCCTGAGCTCTTCATATGCTAGGAATCTGCTATTTGTGCCTGAAATGTTCATTCCATGCTCCTTTAACCGGTAATTATACTCTCCGAGGTACAATTGCAGTATTTCAAAAGAGACCCAGGTGAGTCATTATATCCCTTCTAAAGGCCAAGAAGTTCATTCAAAATCTACAGAAAAGTTAACTTCTGGATTTTTTTTGCGGGGGGAACTCTGTTCTCTGTAGTAATTTAATAGTAATAGTAACTAAACACTATGAACCTGTATTTGATAAGCAGTCACAGATGATGTATTGCTCTAAATTTGACCTGATACATACAGATTTATGCAGATTCAGGGAACCCAAGCAAGGGTCTTGCTAATTTAAACCAAATATATCGCTAGCGGTAGTTCTGCAGTAGGTGAACTGAAAATTCCTTCGGCTTGAATCTGCAGACACTCTGGAGCAAAAAATAAAATGATTTGGTCTGAAAGTTCTTTTTCAGTTTTGGAATTCCTTCCTGTAGGAGGACTTTAAAGGGGTGCCGGGGGCAATTTTGTGCCTTTTTTCGGGAGAGATTCTGTCTTTTATATAACAGTCCTTTGTTCATTTCTCAGCTAATCCAGTCTGATTGTGGGCATTTTACTGCTAATAAGCAGGATGGGTTCCATCCGTAATTCATTCTGCATTTTTGAGGAGGTGTTTACACATGGGCAATTATGACTCACACCTCGCAGTCAATAAAATATCAACACAGGCAGCTCCTTCTTGCCTTAATCTCTCCCTATTTTTCAAATGATTAAAGGACTTTTATTGGCGTCGGGGCTCGGATTTGATTATCGTGCTATCTCGTCTCCCGAGGAGGCGTAATTCGATGAACTTGGTTCTTTCAACATCCTAAAAATAGGAGGAGAGTGCGAAGAACCATAATTTTCTTATTTCTCCCCGTAGCCTTAACCGATTATTGCATTACCTGCCTTATGGTTTTGTGGTACTGAACCTTACGGTAGTCTTTTTTTAAGCTATGTCTGTAATTGAGGACATTAATCTACATTTGAGGGTGGGGTGGGACTGGAAGGCCGGAACCCTTGAGTTAAGCTATGATGGTGTGGTAGGGGGCTCACAAGTGTGTTCCTTTGTTCCTAGCTGGAACCTACAAATGGTGCGCTGGCGTACTGGCCTCCTGCTTATAATAGTCTTGCTGGGTTTGCGCAGCAATTTCCTCTTAAGATCCTGAGTGTTTCGTAAGAACGTGTCAGGTAAGGGTTCCCCCCCAACAACCTGTCTTTCGGGCTGTATCAGATTTTTTTTTCCAGGGTACTGAATCAGTGATGAATGAGTGGCGGCCTGGCCGCGTTTGGGCGTAGCGCCGCACGTGTCTCTGAATGCCGTGAAATGGGTGTTCCCTTGCCTTCCCGTAATTATCCGCGTGGGAGGATAATCAGATCTGAGCCGCAGGATGCCGCAGCCGAGATGGTTAATAATTCAGCCCGTTCTGAGACACAACTGCTTTTGCCACAGCCTCCGGATAGGGGGGGTTGGGTGCATGCTGGGTGGCAGAGCAGTGGCTGTTATGTAAACACTGTGTCTGTCCCAGGCCACCTGAGGAGGGGGAGGGGCTGACACCTCACGCATGGCTGGAAGATTTAGCTGAAAGTTATTGTCCCATTTGTTAATGTCCCAGAGTGCTGTGGGCGCACCGTCAGAAATCTCTGCATGCACTCGGCTGATCGAATGCTTATGACGGGCACGTCGGCCGCATTAACTTTTTATATTTTCATTCGAGATAGAAAGTTCAGATCCAGAAAGTGCAAATCCAGACCAAGGATTTGTTTTCACCAACCAGTTGTGTATAAAGAGTCACTGTCAGAGAGTACCCAACTGGTTGGTTGAAACAAAATCTTGGTCTGGATTTGCACTTTCTGGAGCTGGACTTTCCATCTCTGATTTTCATTGATACTTTTTATATG